GGAGGAGGAAGGCGGGCAGGGTCCCTACCTGGCTGTTGCCATTGGTGTCCTGTTCCTGCCAGGCACAGAGCGTGGCCCTGGGGAGCTGCTGCACCCGCTTGCTGCACTCCCTCCAGCTGATCTGGCTCACCCGCAGCTTCTTCAGGTGCATGTTGGCGTTCTCGGGTGGGCCTGGCAAAGGGAGACGTCCGCGTGAGACGGTGCATGGCGTGGGCCACTGGCAGCCATCAGGGTGGAAGTTCTGGGGCCTCCCATTCCTCAAATCTCCAGTTCAGAGGGTGGGGCCTCAGGGAAGACCTAGGGCAAGGCTCTAGCAGGTGGTCCCTCTGCGGAACCAGCTCCCTGCAGCAAGCTCACTTCTTCCAGAAGCAGCCCCCGAGAGCCCCAGTCCCTGCAGGACGAGCTGCAGTGGGCAACCCTCTGAAATGGGGTGCGTGGTGTCTTTGCCAAGCCAAACAGAGAAACCAGGCACAGGACGCACCTGGAGGGGCTATTTTGCAGGAAGGAAATGACCAGGAGGCTAGTCTTCTCCCCACCTGCCCCCTCCCTCCCAGAAATCCTCCCTGACGGACCAGGCCGGAGCCCTGCAGGAAAGTGCTGGAGTGGCCACTGGACCAGAGGATCACTGGCTTGGAGTTAGCCGGGGGTAGTCTATAGCATGTGGTCAGCTGATGGAGATGGACATTGTAAAACAGGCCCTTCAAGGGAGAATCCAACAATCTGATGAACAATCATCATTGTTCTCATACTTTGGAATTCTCCAGTGTCCAGGCTTTTCATCAGGATCTTACCTATGTAATTCCACTAGTTTAACCTCCATGATGTGTTTGAGGGAGACATCGAATACTGTTACTCTATGAGAAGGTGAAGAGGGTCAAGGATCTTGCCCCAGTTCAGACCTGAGACTTCCTGCATCAGCCCAGGGCGACCTAACACCAGCCTCCCGGGTTCCCAGGGAAGGCACCCACCGTGCACAGCAGTCGGCACCCACTCTGCCATCCAGCACCTGTCCCAGACCCTCTCCTTCTCCTGCAGGCAGATGGGCATTTTTAAGCGGGTGAACTCCACTGGCGTGGCGAGCAGGAGCAAGCAGAGGTCGCTGTCAAGGGAGGGCGGCTTGTAGTCTTTGTGAATAATGATCTTCTGCACTTGCTTTCTCTCCAAGTGGGTGCTGCGGAGTGTTTTGGCTCCTATGACCACAGTGACATTTACTACTGCCATTTCTAATCTGAAGAATGAATACAAAAACGCCCTCACCAACACATTTGTGAACAATAGAGTTCGCAACTAAATACCGGGAGGTTCAGAGCACTGGGCATGCCACCATGGCTCGAGGAGTGCTGGAGAGTGGAGATCAGGTAGGTAGGGGACAGGGGTCCCACTTCAGCAAATCTCTGAGCCAATGACCCATCAGCCCAGAGAAACCCCGAGCACCAGGAGGGCCAC